CACGAAGCCAACCCAAGCTCTTGTTTCTGGCCTCAGAGGAAGTGATTATTATTCTTAATGAATCTTGGATGTATAGATCAGGCAAAAAGGGGAAAATTCTGTTTGCCAAACTAAGACAGGAACAAAACATTAAGTCCCACTTTGCTCCTGCTAAAACAACCAACGTTTGAACACTGGTTGCCCCAGTGTCAGGATCAGCCCAACACCAAACTGCTATTGCCCAAATGGACCGTAGCTCCAAGGAAATACATCTTGGGCCACCTGGACCTGCTCCTGATGATGTTCTGGTCATGCTCTCACTGAACTCAAGTCAAAGTCCTCCAGTAGAAAGGGGACTGTCCCTGGGCCTCCGGTGTGCCCAACACATGAGGTCAGATGGAGGCAGAGGGGTTTCCACATCCCCGGCAAGGAGATGGCTTTCCCCAAAGGATGGGATGATGTGGAAGAAACCCAAAGCAAATCATCTCAGCTGCACCACTGAGACTAAAATGGGGCCCACAACCATGCAGAGATCAAGAGCATATCTAAGCTGGGCATATGGTCCTCTCCCAGGGATACGAACATGCCCATTAACTTTCACTGGGGCATCCAGGCATTGGGCAGGTGAGGGCAAGACACTTCCACATTTCTATGACATCCAAAGAGGCTCAAAAGCCACATCGCCAGCTCTGAAGCCCCTTTGAGCATCCCAGCCTTGGTTGACTTAACCCCATCCCCTCCTGTCATCTAGCTTGGCCTTGAATGGAAATAACAAGCTGGAGTGCAGGAAGGGGATGGTGGGCATCCCACTTCCCGCTGACGGGAATCACCTGTCTCCTCACATAGCAGCTTTCTCCTTCCCACCCTCCTCACTCCCAGTCTCTCGCAGCTCTTCGGGATTCAGACTGTGCAGTGCTTCCGAGTGCAGTAATTAGAGCACAGTGAAATACTGGTTAAATGCATATGTACAGTTGGATAATGTAAAAATAAGCACAAATACACACTTAAAAAAATAATCTGGAAAAAAAATAAACTCCGCCCTCCCTCCCCCCACAAACAACAATATACTGGGGAAAAAATACGTTAGCCTTAGTTCCTGGACTTATCACAAAGCACAAGGAAAACAAAACCAGACAATGTTATAAAAGCTCACGGTACTTCTAGGGAAATCTACACTTAAGTATCTAGCTCTCTACTCAGCTGGCAGAATCAGTGTTTTCCTTTCAAATACACAAAAATAGGCTTTGCTCTTCTTGGATTTGGATTAGGTGGCTTTTCTTTTCTCCTTTTTTTTTGCTTTTTTTTTTGTTTTCTTTTCTTCTTCTCTGTAAAGCCTCACTTCTTTTTTTTTCCCCCCACTTGAATCAGTTGCAGCAAGAAACTTCTGTTGGCTATTGGGTTTTCTTTTTTTATCTCTCTTTTTTTTTCCTTTTTTTTTTTTTTTTCCTTAAACACAGGTAAAACCTAGAACAAACCGACAGTTACAACCAAGTGAAACCAAAACTGGAAGGGAGGTAGCTGGAACCCGACTCCAAGAGTCCTCTGGTGCCATCCTCCTTTCTCAGCCTGGGGGGGGGCAGCGGAAGATGCAAGAAAAGCAGGACACCAGCTCAGCCTATCTTTGAGAGGGTGGGGAGGAAGAGGGGTAGCAGCTGATAGGAGTTTCCCACCCCACCACGCACCATTCACCGCTTTTTGCTCCATCTTTCCCTCCCCTTCACCATGGACACCACCCATAGCTGGTTGGTGGCCCTGGCTGGTGGCCCCAAGTACAGTGCAGCCTTGGCTCACTATCCATGAGAGAGAAGATCTTGGCACTAATGATGGACTTTATGAGCAGCTGGACTTTATGAGCAGCTAAATTTCATCAGCATGGGCACCCTCTCCTGTTCCCCCAAGATTCTTGTTTGATGGTGCCCTACACCCCTGACTTGGTGAGTGGCTGGGGTTGGTAATGTCCCTCTCACCTCCCACCCAATGGCCATCACAGCCATGGACGGTCTTTCCTAGGGACTCCACCAGGCATTCAAGGCCCTGACAGTGGTAGATGCTGCAAGGCCATCCAGCTGGCCTTACCCCAGGGTAGGGGCACAGGGAACAGGAGCTGGGCAGGTGTCCATAACCCACAGCTCCCCTCTTTGCATCTCCTGGGAGCACGGTACAGCACCTGAAACGCAGAGGACAAAGCTTTGCCCCAATGCAATGTTTGCCCAATGGAAAAAAAAAATACTATTGGATTTAACATGACCCAGAGCACAACTTCTGCTCCTGGTTCTGTCCGCCCCATTGGAGAAGATGGACAGTGCCAACACAGCAGCTGGAAAAAAAAATAGCAGCATGGAAATCCTGCCCGTGGGAAAGGGAGTAGAGTCACTCCCGGACTGCAGGAGGGAAGCTGAGGTGTGAGGCTGTGCTGGCAAGAGGCCATCGTCTCCCCTGAGCTGAGAAGGACTCCACCTCAGCGAGCAGAGGCTGGCTCTGGCTGGGCAGAGGAGCTCAGCAGGCCCTGAGCTCCTGGGAGCCCACAGCAGCAAGTGGCAACAACGCCTATACAGACCTGTGTCTCCTGGGCAATGTCCTAGGTGGGAGAAGCAGGTGGAACATCTCCTCCATGCTGAGCTGCATAACTGAGAAGGGGATTTTACAAACTGAGCTGCCATCAGGAGGCATGCAGGACCTGAACTGGGGCTCCCTGCCAGGGCGAAACCCAGGTGGAGTGAAGGGGGGACACCATGCCAAGATGCCTCAGGCATTGAGGACATGATGTGTTGGCAGTCTGAAAGGCTTTTGAGGTTGTGAGCTC